CATTACTTTTAAAATTTATATACTTTCAGAGCCATTTGTAATCAAAATGTCACAATTCCCATTTTTACCTATTGTACACATTGTGTTATGGCTGGGATGATTAAAATTACTGACATTGTGTGTTAAAATTCTATTCCCCAGGGTGATAGTGTTAGGAGACAGTCTTTTAGATGTTAAATAGGTCATTAGGGCAGAGCATTCATGAAGATCAGCATACCTTTAAAAACTCTGTGTGAGCACTGTCTAGCTTGTGTTCCAGCATGTAATATATATATAAATTAATAGAAGAAGATGGATACCAGCAAGCTAAGAGCACCAGCACTAAATATATTGACAGCCTGTTCTTGGACTCCAAGCTTATAGGAATGTGAGAAATGAATTTCTGATGCTTATAGCCACCCAGTCAACGGTACTTTGCTAAAACCACCTCAACTGATTTAGACATGTAGCAATAGCTTATTATTTGTTTTTATAGAAATACATATGCTACTATATAGTATCGGTAATTTTTATTTTATTTGTTTGTTCTTTTAATTTTTTCAATGTTGGGGGTTGAACCCAGTGTTTTACATACACTAGATACACTAGGCAATTTCTACACCACTGAAGCCTTCATTGAATTTATTTTATGATAAAGAAAACACTAGATATGAGATATACCATCAAAAATATTTAAAACTATATTGCAGCATTAGTAAGTACAGACACTGTTTATAGATTTCTAGAACCAACATGATTGATATTATTCAAGTGTTATATACATTAATAACCAGTCACCATTTTCTGCTCCCTATAGCAATGAAAATCCTACTTTCTGTTTCTGTAAGTATGACTAATCTAGATGCCTCATACAGATGGATGATATAGAGATTTGAACATCTGTGACTATCTTATTTGGATTAATGTCCCCAAGCTTTACCTATACAAAGAGGAAGATTTCCTTCCTTTTATGTGCATGTCATATTGTCTTCATCCCTCTATCATTTATTCAAATAAACCAACTTTAATTTGCTTTATTTTTTTATTTAAGAATTTTTTTAATTCATTTTACACACCAACCACAGATCCCCCTCTCATCCCTCCTCCCACTCCCCTTTTCCCCCTCCCCCGGCTCACCCCGTATCCTCTCTTCCAAAAGGGTAAGGGCTCCCATGGGGAGTCAGCGAAACCTGGTACATTCGGTTGAGACAGGACCAAACCCCTCCCCACTGCATCAAGACTGAGCAAGGCATCCCACCATAGGTAATGGGCTCCAAAAAGCCAGCTCATGCACCAGGGGTAGATTCTGATCCCACTACCAGGGGCCCCTCAAACAGACCAAGCTACACAACTGTCTCCAGTATGCAGAAGGCCTAGTCTGGTCCCATGCAGGTTCCACAGCTGTCAGTCTAAAGTTCATGAGTTCCTACGAGCTTGGTTCAGTTGTCTCTGTAGATTTCCCCATCATAATCTTGAACCCCCCTTGATCATATAATCCCTCTTCGAACTCTTTGACTGGACTCCTGTAGCTCAGCATGGTGCTTGACCGTGGATTTTTTAAAATAACAATTTAAGATTAAAATATATCTTTTCCTCGCTTCCTTTTCCTCACTCCAATCCTTCCCATGTTCTCTACCCTTTGATTCCTATCAAATTCATGACCTCCTTTTTAGTTGTGATACATTATATATACATATGTATGTGTATATAATATATACATATATATTATATGTGTATATAAATGTAATCTGCTCAGTCTGTTTACTGTTACTACTATATATGTATATGTGTGATTTCAGGGCTGACCACTTTGTATTGGATAACTAATTAGGTGACTCATCCCTGAAGAAGATTAATTCTCTCACTTTCAGCATTTCTTAATTGCCTGTAGCCTTTGTCTAAGTGCAAGGCCCCATGAGATTTTTTCCTCCTCCACAATAGCATGCCTTTTTGGTCTTGTCCTTGTTCAGGTCTTGTTTAGACAGCTATACTGTTGAAGCTTCCTTGTCATTTCCAGGATACACATTCTCACAGCAGATTAGAATTTCATACATGAATGCTAAATTTTTTACATCATTTCCACCCTTTATTCTCCACCATCCACTTCCTCTTGTGTCTCTTCTACTCCTTCTGAAGTTCATGACCTTCTTTTCTATAACTATCGTTGTTATATTAATATATATTTCTAAAAGCAACTTGGGGAGGAAATATTTCATTTTAGTTTATGCTTTCAGATCACAATCAAAGCCAGGCCAGGAACTTAAGCAAGAGCAGAAACAAAGATTGTGGAGGAAAGCTGATTACTGGCTTGCTCCCAGGCTGACATCCAACTACCAGATCCATATGCCTAGTGATAGTATTGCATACAATAACAGAGGGAATTGTCCCATATCATTAAGCAATCAAGAAAATGCCTCATAGACATGCTTACCAGCTAATCTCTTGGAGGAAATTCTTCAATTAAGGTTCCTTCTTCCAAGGTGTGTCAAGGTAACAACCAAAGTTAACCATCACGTTGACTGTGTTGCTTTATGGAGGAATGTGAGAGATTCTAGAACTTTGGATAAGAAAAATGGTTAAATGTTCTAAGCAGAGCTTAATAAGCCACTCTAGTAGAAGCCTGGATGAAGCCCACAGAGTGAAATGTTGTGGTCTGAATGTGAAATGTCCCCTATAGTCTCGCACATTTAAACACTTGGGTCCTGGTTGGTGGCACTGTTTGGGGCTGCGAGTATGTAACTTTTAGGATGTGGAGCTTTGCTAGAGGAAGGGCATCACTAGGGGCAGGCTTACATAGCCTCATCCACCTTCCAGTTTGCTCTCTCAGCTTCCGATTTGGTGAAATGTGATCAGTAACTTTCCCACTCTGGTCACCTGCTGCTCTATCTTCCTTGTCATTATGGACTTCTCTTTTGTCACTATAAGTCAAAATAACTCTTTTTAAAGTTGTTTCTGGCCATGGTATTTTGTGACATCAAGAGAAAGGTAACTAATAACACACACACACACACACACACACACACACACACACACACACACAAGCATGCACATGCACACATACACGCCTACTGTATCCGTTTAGCATTGCTAATATAGACATGTTTAGCGCTAACTGCTTGGTACTAGATAACATATCAAGAGGACCACCCTTTGAGGAAACTTATCCTCCCTTCCCCAATAGCCATTGACTGTAGTTCTTCATCTAGGGATGAGGCCTTGTAAAAGTTTCCCATCCATGTTGGCATGCCTGATAACTGTTATCATTATGCAGGTATGTTAGGCAGCCATACTCTTGAAGTTTCATGGGTGTGTAACATCCCTATCATGTCTATAAGACATTATGCAGCAGCAGACATACTGGTCGTCTGGTTCTTAGAATCTTTCCACCCCCTCTTTCCACAATGTTCACTGACTCTTAGGAATAGGAGTTGTGTTGTAGGTGTATCTGTTTTGGTTGAGTAGCCCATATTCACTTATTCTCTGCATATCGATCACTTGTGGATTTCTGTGATCATCTCCATATTTGCTAAAAGGAGCATCTTTCATAAGGGGATAAAGCTACACTTACTTGTGTATATAAGGACAAGTATTATAATACAGTTCAAAATTATAGTGCTTTGATGGCAATGGTAGTGGTAGGTTCTCTAGGGTCTATGACCTCTCCATCTAGGAAAATCAGCTAGGTTTACAATATCTGGCATGACTTCCCTCCCATTGAGTGGGCCTTAAATATAATTAAACAGTTGTTGATTACTTCAAAGCTAAAAGTGACACTATTGCATCACTATCAGGCTGGTCATCGGTGTGATTCATAGGTTTTACAACTGAATAGGACTATTAATTGCTTTTCTCCCTTGACAGCTTGCATAGCACCTCAGATACTATGAGATCTAGTCCTCAGGGAGAAGGTTTCCAGGTCAGTTCCAGCTCAATTCTTCTAAGTCCTGTGTCTTAAATGTGCAGTATCTTCAGCAATAAGGTCTTACATTGAAGTTCTAAGAGGCAACCAAGGGCAGCGTCAATAGCCTATGCTGTTTGAGGGGCATCTTGCATTTTCACTATATTTCATAGGATTTGGTGAAGTTATAACAACAGCATGGATACTATTACCATTTACATTTTACTCATAAGGAAAAGAAGTGGTAGAGTTTTTGTACTTTGGCAAAGATCACAAAGAAGTGTAAGTAACAGAACTAATATTGTAATCTAAATACAGTGAAATGAAATATCAAGTCAAGAATGAACTTTTTTCTGTACCATAAGTCATTATTCTTCTCTGGGTTTCCAATTCCTTATCCACAAAGCCAAAGTAAATATTATAGAAAAGATATTCAAGCCTCCCTGTAAATATGTCTAATAAGAAAAGATTAAAAACTGATAAACATATTTCTAAGCATATTTATTTATTTTAGTATGGAAGCACATATACATAGTACTTACACATTCACTGCTATTTTCCTATTAGTGAAATATTGGAATAGATAGAATTTGGTTATTACACAATTAACTCTCACTGTTATATCTGTGCTCTAAATTCTACTATGGGTACTTGAATACATGATGTTGAGAATAAGTCTACTTTGGTGGGTAAAGATAGAATAGCATATGTATGCAGTGGAAGTTTTGGGGACACAAATATATTTTATTGAGAAATACAGACAAAAAGGTTAACTAGGAAATTTCCATGAGATCAAGTGGGGCAGATATGCAATATTTGGAAAGAATCTGAAAAAATAATGAATACAGTATACAGTGCAAATGAACTTTCCCTCCATCAATACTTTATGAATTAAAACAAGGAGACCTGCTAGTGAGCATGTGGCTTGCGTGAGGAAATTCATTTTTCTCCATTCTTTTGTTGAATGCATGTTAGGTAACAAACGCTACATCCCTAGATAAAAGCACTCAATCTGTGGCTAGACAGTATAGTGAAAGAAGCTTTATTAGCGCTAGCAGTAGCTATAATCACAGACTCATTTTGAATAGGTAGAAAGAGCAGACATTATTGTGAAACTCATATACAAGCCAAAGCATTTGCATGTTCATTGATCATGCTATTGGAATACTGTAATATGAAGACTTGACCTGTATTACAGCTATTGTCCAGATGATATATCCAAAGGCATTTGTAATCCCAGTCAAATTTTCTAGATTTAGCTAATTGATGCGGAGCTTTACGGTGATTTACTAACATTGATGCTTCCTCTCGTCTTAAATAAGAATCATTCATTGACTATCTACTGTTTGGTCACAGGATTAGCCACTGCCACAGCCAATGTAGTCCAGAAGAGGGCCACTTTTATGCCTTGCACAAAAGACATAAAGTCTAAGCCCACAGCAAGTACATCAAGCTATGTTAAATGTTTATTTTCCATTATAGTATGTACGCACTCAATGGCCTCTTCCCCAATTACTCTTTTGCTGGGTTAACAACCTTCCCTAAAAAGAGAATGCTTCTGGTCCTTTTCTCCAAAATCATAAGTAAGAATGTTCTATCAAATCGGATAATAGGGTGAAGAGGAGCTACTTCTGACTGATCCAGAGACACAGCTTCAGGAGCAGCTCCTTCATTGGTTCCCTCTTCTCCAATGTGCAGCACAGCCTTGTGGAAAGCCTGTGAGAGAAGAACACACACTGAAGGTACCCTGAAAAAGTGGCAACAGCCTTTGGGGTGTGTGAGAAGTACAAAAAGAAATACAATGTATTGTGTTGATGGTACTTGAATATGAATATTACATTGATGAGTGTAGTTAATGAATTTCTGTGATTTTAGGACTACTTGTTTGGGTAGCATCTCATTCTCCATCACCTTCCAATCTCTTGAAGTTATCTTTTTGGTGCCTTTCTCACATCCTCTAGCACTGTGTCTCACGAGTCACTTCTGATCATTAAGACTTTCTGTTGCATTAGTCATCTTAGAACATGAGGTTTAGGGATGGAAATTACATTTATTTATATATATTTTGGTGTTTGGCCTGCATGTGTGTTTTTGCATCATATGCATGCCCTGTACCTGCAGAGACCAAAAGACCAGATTTCATGGGACTAAAGTCACAGACGGTTGTGAGCTGCCATGTTATGTTGGTGATGGAAATTGAACCTGAATCTTCTGGAAGAGCAAACAGTGCTCTTATCTACAGAGCCATCGCTCCAGTCCCAGAAATAACTTATTGAATAAATAAAAAAATAAATAAAATTACTTATTTTAAGAAACAAAAATGTCTCTCATATAATACTGACCTAACAGAATCACACTGCCAATGTAGACATGAGATTCCTTTATTGACTAAATGATATGGTGAATTAATTGACTCTCAATGTTCTCTCAAGCTCATACAGTAAAAAACATCCACCAACTTACATAAGAAAGTTTTAGACCATTGTCTTCTGTGATTCCAAGAAAGTCAGCACCTTCAGCAAAGGCATCCCTCATGCCCATCTTCTGAAGTGTACTTCCAAGGTCATATGTGGCAGAAATGGAAAACTTTGGAACAAACAACTCAACCCATCTGTGTGGAATAAGGAAAGGGAGACATGACAGTCACCACACTAATCACACTTAAGATCTCAAGACACGCCACCCCCCACTCATTCTACTCGGCTACTCCTCTGAACATTGACAACCATTAACATGGTACCATAACCACAGAAGGTATTGTTGTAGAAGTGGTCTCGGACTCAGAAAATGTTGGGCTGCAACATATGGTGCCCTGACCCTTTGTTATCAGAAAAATGTATCTCTGTGGTACTGAGCAAGGACAGGGGTCTAATGGCATGAAGATCAAAGGGGAGTGCACAGGGATTTTCATGGTGTTCTATCTTGAAGTTCCAGCTAAGAATGACTGCCAACTCTGTGCCAACATCAATTCTTATCCATCCCAAAGCTTTATTTGGTCCCTAAAAAGGTATCAGCACCCTAGCATACTCACTTTGGGGAGCTTTATGGGAATTTCTAATTTGACAAATGTCTCCTTGGCATTTTCTCAATATGCTTAGAGGAGATACTGTGGAAAGTATCCAGAAAAGTGTCAGGCACACTGTACTGGACATACTCTAAACATCATCATACTACTGCCAAGTGCTTTTAGGTAATTTTCCTACCTCTAGGTTTCTTCTGAATGTAGCCTCACCTCCACTGATAGGCCCACCCACAGCCCCTCATACCCTCTAAATTGTTTACCCTTTCTGCAGTAAGTGGTTCCACTTCTTCAGTGTCTTAGATGACATGGCTGCCTCCACCCACTCCACGTGTCCCTCCTTTGGAAGGACAAAAAGTGCCAGAGCATTCTCATTATAGTCCATTTGAAGTACTGTGCAATTCAGTTCTACATCCACAAAATGATAGTATTCTTCTAGCTGGTGCATCATGGGCACTTGTACTGTGTTGTTCTTGTCCACTGAGAAGTTGGAACTCGCTTCTGTTTTAGATACACGAAAAGGATTTGCCCACTGGGCTTAAAACAAGAAAGAGGACAGATGTTTCTTTGAAACCATTAGTCATTCATCTAATAATTAAGACTGTATACTGTCAACCAGTTTTCCAAGTGATTATAAAAAAGTGACTCACTAAGGATCAGAAAAACAAAGTCAGCTGACATGATCAACCAACTACCACATGGCAAAAACAGAAGTCCTCTTCATTTCTGCTGGACTTCACGGTCTATTTTTTAGAAACACTATACTTTCTACACCCATCAGAAACAAACGGTATTCTCCTTCCATGAAAAGGTATATGAGTGTCAAGAAAAATAGGTGAAATGAGATAACAAAGTGTTCTGCCATTTTAATCATATATAGGTGTGTGGCTTATGCAAAAACTCACTCATCCAAACATGAAAGACAGGTTCTATAAAACCAAGAGTTTTATATCTGGGCACAGTGCTTCCAGAAATCACTATAAGCTCTAGCTTTAGGGCTAGATAGCCTTGCTGGAAAAGTTAGCACTGAAAATTATCAATGGTATATATTTGGATACTTGTAGCATAATCACACATAGTAGGTACTTAATATATAATAAAAGTTATTTATGCAAGACATCCCAATGTGCACAGAAGTAGGAACCACATTATGCCTAGATACAAATTCAGTAGACTTGCCAAGCACAGGCTTTTCCCACCTCATTAAATACTTTAGAAACTATAGTTATTTAGCCTGATATAATCAGAACATTCATAACATTGTCAACTGAATCTTTAAAAGTGTTATCTCCCTAGAAATTTCCTGGGCTCATACACAAAGCTGCGTGTCATCCTGGAATGATCCAACATAATGCATAAATACAGACAATAGTGACAAATCACTGTGGTATGAGGGACACCTACTGATGCCAGTGATAAGAGATCATTAATTCCCCCTAGTTCTCTATCTTAACACTAGACTGAAAATTGATGTCTTAATGCCTTACCTTTGAAATGAATATAGTTCACCAGAATCATGATAATGTTCAGTCTAAGGTCTTCAATTAAGCCTATAATTTTCCCTTTACTTTGCTTCTCCACATAACTGTTGATCTCCTGCTGGACTGCAGAAACATTGGAGAAGTCGGTAGGAAAGACTTCAGTTTCATAGAGGGTCTTGACATTATCCAAAAACTTTGCCAGTGGTTTCAGCTGCTGCCCAATGAAAACTGCATTTCCCATTTGCAATTCCAGTTCATTCTTTGGGAAATTCAATGAACAGATCAAATGCTGGAAGCCCTGATGAAATTCTGTTATTGGAGTACCTGTGAGGTTAAACCCCAAAACCTCCAGAATCTGAGTTTGGGTGCTAGAGCCAGATACAAAAGAAAGCATAGCTAAAGCAGCAGATATGCTCACAGGGGAAAAAAAGATATTCCAATCTGGGTTCTCCACAGAGAACCTACGATACAGCCTGAACGCAAAGTCAGCATTGATAGATGACATCTTATAGAGAGTGGCATTTTGTTGGGGCAAATGACAGGTCGTTACTTTGCCTTCAGAACTGTTATATTGTGCACAATGGATTGTAGCCTGAAGCCCAAATACCAAGAAAAACAGATAGAGGAACACTGACATTCTGGAGTGAAGATGATCTACAAAACATGAAGTGAGATAACCATTGGGGGAGCTTAGATAGACAAAAACTTGCTGATCCAGAGAAACATAAAAGTCACCCACCTTGATTTATACAACTAAAGAAAGTATTTGAAGGTGTGTTCAGCAAGGAATAAAGGAGATAAATAGTCTCTCTCTTCTCTAAAGACCAGTGACATGTCTACTTTGGAAAGAGAGTAGGAGAAATGGCTTGCCTAGGCAACAGAAATACAATGTCATGAATTCATTAACATATGAAAATACTGAAACTCATGGAAATTGAATCACTTCCCATTTGAATGAAGGGCAGTTTTATGGGTATGAAGAATCATTAGACACAGCAAGCACACCCTCTGTTTATGTCACATGTACATTAGAATTTTGGTATGTGTGTATTGTGTATTTTAAGTTGGTGTTTTCTTAAGATAACATTTGTCATGTGACCAAATGAGAACAACTCCTCCAAGAAATGACTAGTTGGAATGGAAGAGTAATGGTTTCTTGAGTCATGTACAACATAACAAGCCAAAATTCATGCACCTGCGAAATGTAAGGGAGACACAAGAGTATTTTCAAATGATAGGAAAGTGAGAGTATAACATTCTTGTTTTAGAGACTTCTTTCTTTTAGTACTACCTAAAGAATCACTTCTCACTTCTAACAGATCTTAACAATCTTATTCTTATAAGTATGCATGCCATTTTATATCAATTAGAATGGAAGTCCTAAAGTTTTCTAAGTGTGAAATAGTACAAAGAAGCAGGGAACATGATGTAGAGTCAAAAATATTCATACACCAGTGGTTAGAAAAAAGATCCATGGAATCAGTACAGGACCTCTTCCTAAGCCTTTCATTTTCTTCATGAGTGGTCTCAACTTAGGTATACTAACTGCTGTATTATAAATGTCCTTCTAGTCCATACTGTCTTACTGAATTGTTACTCATCTACCCAGCTGCTGTTGGACATATACACCCTGTTTGCCCATTCATACTTCAGCCTCCACTGGGAAATCCCAGTTTCCAAATGTAAACACATTCTCTCTCAACTCCCCAACCCACTTCTTCATTTTCATTCCATAGTCCAATATATTGCACCCCTGTTTATAGACAGACCCATATCAAAGGGCTTGCTTCATTTTTATTCTCCAGGTCTAGTGGCCATGATGACCAATGAATACTTCCTGAATTCTTATCAAAACTTTTCTTTTCTCTCCATCTCTACTTCCAAGTCCCATTGCCTAAGTTTAAGGCTTTAATGATTTTATCGGCTCCTAGCATGACAGAAGGCCTCTTATCTCCTCCATCCTTCCTTCATCCACTTCTATATCAAATTTCCCAGATTTTCACCAGAGTACTCTTCCAATCAAAGTCATCAAGGCTGGTTAGAAGGTTAGTTATCAGATGACCACTCTTAGACCTTGCCTCTTGAATCTGCAAACTTCAAACTCAGTTATTTGGAACTCTGGCTTGGAAGAAATGTTCAGTGTTCCCAAGGAGAAAAAAATACTTACAGAACATGCCCAAGAAGCCACTTGCATCTCTCAGACAGCAATGCCTACCTTTCCATCTTTATAACATGCCCTCGATTGCAAAACTAGAGCATTCTCAGTTACAAATTAACCATGACATGAACGCTGGGATGATATTTCCAAAGCTGATGCACAAAACCAAGGCCAAGTGGGAAAAAAAGCTTAAAAAAATAAGGTTTGCACTCTGGGTAAAACTTTAGATAATACTTTGGCTTCTACATACATCCCTCATTTAAAATAGTTCTTATTGCCAACGCCAAACAGTGCCGGAACAGGATGACTTTTGAGAAAAAGATATATACAGACAGAGACTTGTGGAATCTTTCTAATTGGTGCTATAGGATGGTTTGTGCATAAGTGGAGAAAATGCTGTCAAATACTGGACCTTTTAATGCTCAAAGGGAAACTAGTCATGTCTTCTGATCACTAAAGTCCACTGCACCCTCCCCTAACCCGAGGGCTCCAGAATATGGTACAGAAGGGACCAATAATGTGGAATAAAAACAAACATCTTCTACCTGAGATTAACTGTGTGCTATACACAAAGAAGCAGTAGAAGCTGGGCAGTGGTGGCACACATCTCTAATCCCAGCACTTGGAAGGCAGAGGCAGGTGGATCTCTGTGAGTTCGAGGCCAGCCTGGTCTACAAATGAGTTCCAGGACAGCCAGGACTGTTACACAGAGAAACCCTGTCTCAAAAGACAAAACAAAACAAAACAAGCAAACAAAGGAGAAGAAACAAAAATAATTAGATTTCATCAAGAAACTCCAGTTTAGCCTCGACTCTGTCAGTTTCTAGGTATAGTGATAGTAGTAACGGTAATTCCTCCTGCCATTTGATCAAGCACATGACACGACACAAAGCACCTGGCCCCCCAAACAGCTACCCTAGGAACTACATTAAGGATTATTGTGGTCAGTCAGCAGCATAGATCACAGACATGCACATGGCTTTCAGTGAATCCATGTTGATAATCCATAGGCTAGGCTGCCACTGGATACCATATTGGTGTCCATGGCCCATGTTACCCAGGAAGCCATGTTGATGTCTGTGTCCTGTGCTGTTGCTGCTGCTGCAGGCTGCGATGGTGTCCGTGGCCTGTGCTGCATTAGAGGGCTCTGTTGATGTCTGTGATCTGTACTGCCCCTGGAGACCATGCTGAGGTCCAAGTGGCTCATGCTGATGCTGGAGGTTATATGGTTGTCCATGGTCTGTGCTGTGGCCAGAAACCATGTGGAAATCCATGATCCATGCTCCTGCTGATTATAAAGGGCAAGGGGGCTTCCTTTAGGAAGCTTCTTTTATAGTGGTATTGATGACTGGAGACTCATAGTTGAGAGAGACATATAAGGCTTCTGTGAGAACCCCTATCCCCACCCCAATCCACCCCAACCCCCAAAATAACAGACTAGACAGGAAGCCATTGAAGAGAATTCTTAAAAATTGTGATAAGGATGCTGAAGTGTAGCTCTCCACAAGTGATGGCTTCTGGCAGGGGTAGAGGTGGGAAAAGATTCCACTTTCTTTCAGGTGCTGGCTGCTGGGAGTTTGAGCATGATCCAGTGACTATATGGGCAACACAAGTTAGATTTGTCTTTTCCTTTCTTTTTGGGGAGAACAGTCACAAGGGGGGGGGCAGACCTGGGAGGAATGGGAAGTGAGTGTGATGGGGTGCACGTTGTGAAATTCCCACATAATCAAGACAAATATTATGTTGGAGAAAAAAGGATCAATATGTTAATCAGGGGAGCAGTGAAAGTAACTAGGGCTAGTTCAAGTTAATCCTACATATAGTCTATGGAAGGACTTGAAATCCAAGATAAATTGGACACACTTTAACTGAAGTCCATTGGAAAGACACTGGGAGATTTTTGGAAAGGAGATAAGTACAGTGTAGGTGACTATACCATGTCACTGTTTCTTTTCAATCAAATATAGTAAAGTCCTACTGTATACAAAACACCACATTCAGCCCTGAGATTTCAGAGGTGAATGTGGAATATTCATCCTCCATCAAAGTGGCCTTTGTGATGTCATGGCATCACTGCCCAAACTCAATAGGTAAGGTGACATCTCACATTAGGATGGTCAATGGCTCATATGTTACACAGAAAGTCATGTCTAGATTGAGTCCCTTGACTACCAGTTCAATTCAAACTCAACCCTGATAATAAAACAACATATTGTGTGTTTTCTCAGATGCTATAAGCTCCAGTAAACCCTTGCAGAAGAAACAAAGAAAATTAAAAAAAGAAAGAAAGAAAGAAAGAAAGAAAGAAAGAGAAAGAAAGAAAGAAAGAAATTTTTCAAACCTGTGCCCTCTGGTGGTATATTTAGACAATGGCACAGGTTCAGGCTTTCAATGAAAATGAAGGGAACCATGTGGGACACACACACACATATACTCTAGGGAAACAGAGGCACAGAGATCAAATTATGAATTCTAAGCCAGTCTGGATTACATAATGAGATTCTGTCTCAATGACAGAAAACAAAAGCAACAAATTAAAAAACAACTAATTCAAGGACACCCAAGCCCTTAGTCCCTCCTGAGGACAGTGGGCAATGGCCTAACACTAAGCCCCACTTCAAAAAGTTTCCAGTACCTCTACACTGACATGAGGAAGACCAAGCCTCCAACACAGGAACCCTTAGGGGACACGTTGAAATCACCCCAAGCCATACAAAAGTATTGACTAGAAGCTGACACATACTGGGAATCCAGAAACTCCATTTCATTGTCTCCATTTCATCAGCAGAAATCAGTTTCTCATCTCACTTAACTGCCCACTCCATCCTGCGGTTCTGTTTTCAGCAAACACATTCTCTTTAAGATGAAATGGACACCTCTTATAAAGTCATATTTAACATAATTTTAGCATTGTGTTAAGCTGGTCTCAATAGCATCACGATATAGATGTAGAGAAGATAATGGATATGGAATGGTAAAATTAGCAGAGTGACTTTTCTTCTTGTTATCTAAGTCTTAAAGGCAAGTCAAGAATTGGGTCCTTAAGCAAAGTGAATCAAAACTGTCTTAAAAGTGTTAGCATATCAATTAATTCACTCAGATCTAATATTATGCATGTTATTTTTGATAAATGTCATAATTTATTGCCATACAATATCTTCCAAGTTTTATTTTACAAATGTTTAATATTTCTTCAGTTACTTCCATTTGTAAACGTTCCCCCCGGTTTTACTTGATATTTGTCCTCCCAAATAGTCTAAGAGAAATAATGGGATCTCATTCTGTATATAGATGTAGAGAAAAAATGAATGTTGGGGTCAAACCACCAGATAAGGCAGATAAGGAAATGTGACCATATATGGTATATGTTAAGGGCAAGGAGAATATAGAATGAGTAGAAATAGGAGAAGAAAATTGGGGTGCTAGTACCAATATATACCTATATCAATATTACATATTTATTCTACCTTTATTCCTAAATTCACTCATATTTACATAAAAATATGTTAATTGTACTTAATTTCTCAGCATGACAACCGCTACACAGAGCAGGAATGAACACCATCCAGAGATAAATGAAAAGGCTACCTTGGTTCATGGAGGCTTCCACAGCAATTTACTATAAACTGAGTTGTTTTTAAACAACAGAAATGTATTTCTCAACATCCTCAAGGCTGAGAAATCCAAATTCACAGTGTTGAAAGATTCTACATCTGCCCTAATTTTGTTTCTTGTTAATATTATAAAATATCCTGACAAAAGAAATTTTAAGGGAGAAAGGGTTTACTCCGTTTACAATTCCAGGTGACAGTCCATCACTACTGGAACGTCAAAGGAAGAGTCTGAAGCAGCTAGTCACACCAACAGTAAAGAGCCTCAGGAATGAATGCATATATGCTTATTACTCAGCTCGCCCTCTCCACTCTTATACAATGTGGGACTCAAGCTCAGGGAATGGTGCTGCTTAGAGTGGACTGGGTCTTATCACATCACCTACTTCAACCCAGACAATCCCCTATAGACATGCCCACAGCCTTTTCCAGGTGATACTATATTTGATAAAGTTGACATCTAAAACTAACATCACAGAATGATTTTAGGTTCATAGATGGTACCTTCTACCTATGTCTTCATGATAGAAGTGATCAAGAAATAACTCAAGGCCTCTTTTGGGAGGGTACTAATCCCATCCATGACAGCTATGTTACTATAACCTCATCCTATCCTTAGGAAGCCATCTTTTAATACTATCATCTCAAGTAGTAGGGTTTCTTTTGTAAAAACAATTTGTGTGTTTGTGTGTACAAGTTTGTGTTCATGTGAGTGACAGTACATTTGCATGTGCCTGTTTAAGACAAGAAGATAATCTTGGGTGTAGTTCCTCAGGCTCCTTCCATCCACTTTGCTTTTGGAGACAAGGTCTCTCACTGGATCCCACTGATTAGAGTATCCTGGCTGGCCAGTGAGCCCTGGGCAATCCATCTGTCTCTGCCCTCATGACCCCTGCACTGGAATTACAAACATGTACCACCATTGCCCGGTTTTTTTTACATTGCTTCTGTAGATCTAAGTCAGGTTCTCATGCTTGTGCATTATGCATTTGTCTTGAAGCCCCAGGGTGTAGGATTTGAACTTGAGATCTGAGGAGAACATACTGAGACCAAAGCAGGGACTTGGCAGCCTCTTTGGTAAAAAAGGATTCACATGTTTTGAGTTACACGCGGCAAAGCAGCGTTGTGAGATGTAGAGGATGCTTTTCATTACTCAGAAGTGAAATATGAACGCATTAACAACTAAGGTGGCCCAGTTGTTCTGTGGGAAATTTGTACAGTGCTGTGCTGGTTGGTTTCTGTCAACTTGACACACATCTAGACATATGTGGGAAGAGGGACTCTTGATTGATAAAATGCCTCTATCAGATTAGCCTCTGTAGATAATTTTCTTGATCATTGATTTATGCGGGAGGACCAAGATCACTGTGAGCAGTACTACCCCTGGGCTAGTGTTCCTGGATTGCATAAGAAAGCAGGCTGAGCAAGCCATGGCGGGGGGGGGGGGGGGGGGGGGGGGGGGGGGGGGGGCACTATTTCATTGTTTCTACTTCGGTTCCTCCCTCCAGGTTCCCAGCTTGAGTTTCTTCCCTGACTTCCCTCAGGTCTATAAACTGTAAGATGGAATACACTGCTTTCTCCCAAAGTTGCTTTTGGTCATGGTGATTCATCACATAAATAGAAACCCTAATTAAGACAAAAATTTGCTAAAACCAAGTACATGTCCCAGACAGCTTTTCTTTGAAGGATGATGTAAGTCTGGAATCCTCTTTGCTATCTGATGTTTCACCATGCTGTCAATGGTAGTAGCCACCTTCATGCCTCTAGCTACAACTGTCCTCTGCCTTCTGATTCTTTCCTTTCTGTTCCAGGTTTAAGAAGTTGTGATAGGACTAACACTGCTCTTCCCAAAGGTCCCATTTACTGAGACATTGAATCTGTATGCCTAGGAAGGTACAAAAGCTCTGTGAGACAGAGGTGCCATCCTGCTTTCAAGTCCTGTAGCATGAATCTTAAAAGGTCTTATTAATTAAAACAAATCTGAAGCCAGGTATTGGGGTGAATGCTGGAAGATCAGAGAAGCAGAACAAGTCACAACTTCCTCACCTCACCAATTCCTCAGCTGATCCTGTTTCCTCAGACTGGAAGCCTGAGTCCTTATCCAAATGAATCTCTGCTGAACTGTTGCTCCAAAGCCTGAATGCTTAACCAGCCAAATGCTTCTAGTTTCTGGTCTTCACGGCCTTATATACCTTTTTGCTTTCTGCCATCACTCCTTGGGATTAAAGGCATGAGTCACCATGCCTGGCTGTTTCTAATGTGGCTTTGAACTCACAGAAATCCAGAGATATTTCTGCCTCTGGAATACTAGGATTAAAGGCGTGTGCTACCACTGCCTATCCTCTATGTTTAATATTGTGGCTGTCCTGTTCTCTGACCCCAGATAAGTTTATTAGCGTGCACAATATTTTGGGGAACACAATACCACCACCAAGTCCCATTTTCCCTTACATGTCCCTCTTTCTTACCCCATGTCCTGCGAGCTGAGGCTCACACTGCGCTCTAGAAAAAGCCAAAGTACCCAAATCATTGTCCTGCTTCTCTACAGTAGTGTGCAGTCAAATGTCTACTGAAAATCCCTTCTTCCAGAGAGCAAGTTTCTTAGTCTCCACTAAGAAAAGAAGCACCACTTTCCCTAATAAATATTGTATATGGGAAAATGGATTCCTCCAAAACCAAATTAGAGATTTTACTCTGGAGACCTAAGAAACTAATAATCAGTGGCCTCACACAAATACAACATTGAGATAAAAGCATTAGAGGTTTAATACACCCAAAATCTAAAATCTGACATTCTTCAAAATCCAAAAAAATCCAACATAATACCACAAGCAGAAATTTCATTATTGTGCTTATATGAAGGGTTAATGTCAAAATGCAGGTGTACAAAAATATTGTAGAAAATTACATACAGGAAATGCATATAAAGGGCATATAATATAAGGAAATTTCATTTTTAGACTTGAGTCCCATTGCCAAGATATACCATTATGTACACAAAAATTTATCAAAGTCTAAAAGAACTAAAAAACAAAATACGTTTTTAGCATCTAGGATAAGGGATACTTAACCTGTTGATTTATGCATGTGTAGCACACCACAATGCAAAATGTGCTTTTGATACCTTAAATGATTCTCAAAGCAATCTTATGGAGCAATGAGGGAATCAATTTATTAATTTGGTAAATTATAAAACTACTCTCTCAGAATGACAACACATCAAAAGTCACACCAGAGAGCTCAGGATCAAACCACCTTTACATCTCAGAGTGAGGTGATTATGATCCAGTTTTTTTGTGAGATAGAAGTTCTCTACGTTCCCTTCCACATTTAAACCAAAGGAGTAAGGACCTCTGTGCTCTCATGTTAAGGTGGGACCAGACGCAAAATTTAAAAGCATTGCAATTTGTTTAAAGTTATGAAAGAGACCTATTGGTATTATTTTTCTGAAATCTGGGATTTCTGAAGCTGTTTGTATTGGTAAAACTTTTTTCTAAAACTAATCTGATACACAAAATATTGTTCTTTTTTTTAAAAAAAATGATGTAACCTCTGATGTCTCTACAATCTTAAGAAATATTTTAAATCAGGTCATGGCTTAGGAAGGGCTAATTGACAAATCATAGTCTTATTTTGTTTACTGAGAAACTGTTAACCAAATTTCTACTCAGAAGCATGTCACCAGGACCAGTGACCAAGGAACAAATATTGAGAAAAGAAAATAGCTTTAATGAAGATGGTAGAAACTTGAAAGGGGAAGGAAATTGGTCTCAATTCCTACTTTTCCAAGCTCTTAGGGAAGTACTAGATTTTTGTACATAAACCAGTATAGAAGCAACATGCAGAAAACCAGCATCTTCCAGATGCCTTGAATTGGGCAGTCTGGAGTTTTATAGTGATCAAGTGATGATAGAATCTAAATGACAGTTTATTCTTAACTAGAAGTAAAGAACTTCTGCTGTGCAGAGTAAAGGTCACATTCTTACAATGAGACAGAAAAAGGAATAAACTGAGGTAGAGTTATTGATAATAGCATAGTTGCTTTTCAAAATATTATTCTTATGCACTCTTTGGAGGTTTTGTGTAATTTGAGAAGTATTCATTAAATACCTTATGCTTCTGTTTATTTCATTGATTTTTTTATTGTTAGTGGTGATGATGGATTGGTTTCTTTTTCTTTCTTTTTTTTTTTTTTTTTTTTTTTTTAACTCTGGCTTGCTTGCAGTGTGCCACGTAGGCCAGGCTGGGCTCAAACTCAACAGAGATCCATCTACCTCTGCCTCCCAAGTGCTGGAATTAAAGACTACATGCTGCATGACTTCCAGCTTTGCTTTTTTAAAAGCTTTTCTTCAACCTATTCAAAATTCATATATTTCAACTTTACATGCTTTTAAAATAAGTATGCTTAGTAACACTAAAATATTCAAACAATTTCCATCTCTTTTTTTCTGAGAGGTTTATAAACTATTAAGATCTGGTTTCTATACTATTTTTAATGCCTCTGTCCCTATTGACATGAGTCTTCCCTGGGTTGGAATCAGAAGGGTAAACATTATAGTGTACCATGCCTCGAAGTACCAGCATATTATAACACTTTACTTTTTCTGGCAATGGTGAAATTTATCAAATACGCAGAGTTATCAGTGAATCTAAAGTTAGCCCAGAAACCTAAAGTCTCAAGAGACAGGTGACTAAGAAAATCCACTGGATAAGGACCTAGGTCATTCATTGGACACAAAATATGTCAATCATCACCTCTCAGCAAATGTGCTTCAAGCATGTTAGAAAAATAGAACAGTGTTTTATGACTCATCCAGGTTCTGCCCATGTCAACTGCCAACGTGAATCCTTCTCGCTCATCTGAGGACTCAGGGTGAAGTAACAGTTGTCCTCACCACCTCCCAGAAGGCTTCTTGGCCAACTGTGTCCCTCTCCGGAAAATAGCTGCAGCCCAACCATATTTCTTGGCAAGTGTGTGCCGAACCATGCTTTATGTCCAAGAGCGAAGCCCATTCCCAAGACATCAGGTTGGAGTTGGTAGACAAATGAGCCCATATCAGATTGTTGATGAAGAAGGTTTGCTGCCTGAAGAATATGAGTCCTTAGTCCCAGAAGCCATGATCCCTGTGGCTTTGGAAGCAGAAGTGGAAGAACCTCTGGTAGTGGAGGAAGGGGAGGAGGTCATTTGGCTTCATGTACAGCAAATAGATGATGATGAGGAGGAGGAGAATCAGGCTGAGGTCATGGAAGATTGTAACTGGATTCACAATGTGGAAGACGATCATGGTGATGTTTATTATGAGTATACAGGCACTGGTGAGTTATGTGCGATGGGATTTTGGCACTTTAATTGAGATATGCCTCCCATACAACTTTATCTATTGTAATAGCTACATCCCACTCATGGGCCCATGTAGGTTGTGTGGTGATTAGACACTACTGTGGACCTGGGAAAACACTCAGACTGAGGAAACAATATGCTTTATTAGTTTGTAAATTCAAATAAATATTTTTCTTGGGAGAGCGCAGCAAATATCACCAGACCCAAGTGACTATGTTTATTCTTGTTCTAAGAGTCAGAAATAATTAGCTGCACAGGATGTGAGATCTATTGCAAAGAGAGGGGAATGTTACTGAAAACTATCAACCATTTACAGTCCAGCCCTCAGCTACAATCTGAGGACAATGGAAATGTAGTTTCATCCCCAAGGAAGGTACCCAGATATTTGTTGGTATTTTGTTTGTTTCTACTTTTATACTGAGAGTAGAGTGCTAGGTATTACTGCTGATTGTAAACTGGAATTTTTTGGAAGTTCTAGTCTTAATTTCTGCATATTCCTTTACTTATAGAAGGAAATGACCATACATATGAATGCTTCCATGAGGAGACCAGAGAAGCTGTAGTTCAGGCAAACGCTGAGAATGAAAATGAAGACCAGGATGATGGAAGATGACCGTAATCTAAACTAAGCTGAAAAGAAAGCCTACAATCCAGGTATCTATATGCAGTGTGTAATATCCAATCATTCCTGTCTATGTACACACACACACACACACTTTCCTTGGTAAACCAAATAATGAGAACTGTTTAAAAAATTAGTTCATAAATTCAGTTTTAAGTTAATAATGAACACTAGACAGCACAGACTACAACATGTTCTTAAATGTTCTTTATTTTCTTTTTAACAAATTATTGGTGTGTGGTTGAATGTGTACATGTGTATGTATGTGTGTGAGGTGTGGCTAAGTGTGGTATATTCATACATGGGATGTACATACGTATGCAATCAGGAATCACAAGAGGGCACATCCCTTCATCACCTTTTGCCTTTGCGGCACCATCTATGACCCTAGCGTTCAAGGTTTTCTGGCTAAGTTGGCAAACCAGAAAGTCCTAGTGATCCTGTCTCTCCTTCTTTCAGTACTGGAGTTAGAGGTGTGCACAAGGCCATGACTAGCTTGTTACATGGGTGTTAGGATAAAAACCAAGATCCTCATGCACATGTAGCAAGCACTCTTAACTGCCAAGTCATATGCCTAGCTCAAATGGTCTTCTTTTCCTTTCATTCAGCTATAGCTATAAGGATCAACAGAAGATTTGCCACATTGGGTAGTTGAGCCCATGATATTTTGAGAACCCAAAACAAGTGGCTAAATTAGTATTTACATATAGTAATTGAGACTTCCTCCTGTAGGAACAGAAATAATCTATTTTAACAGGAAAGAATGTTTGAGGTTGCGATGACTTACAAAATTATAATAACTAGAATCACTGTGATTGGTATCTAGTATTCATTTAGTCAAAATTATTACTATTTCATCTAACAGTCAACAAAAAAACTTAGTCATAGGAAGGTTATTTTCTCAATGAATTTATAGTTAGTTTATATCTAATTGTATCATTCCATTTATCCTTTTTACCAGTATAGAATCTGTGGGTTAAGAGAGTATGATCTGTGAATATTTTACAGTGTCATAATGTAGACCACAGTGTCCTAGAACTTGTTGTATAGGTTTGACGCAAAAACTTCCTGTCTTCACATCTTGAGTGCTGAGATTATAGCTGTGCATCATCATGACTAGCTAGCAAGTTTTTGTTTTTTTGTTTCAATAGAAAACTATACTAAAATCCCAGAATGGGTTCTCAAAACCAAACAACAAAACTGATTTTTTTTTTTTGGTTTCTCAAGACAGGGTTTCTCTGTGTAGCTTTGGTGCCTGTCCTGGATCTCGCTCTGTAGACCAGGCTGGCCTCGAACTCACAGAGATCCACCTGGCTCTGCCTCCTGGGTGCTGGGATTAAAGGCATATGCCACCACCGCCCAGCTCCAAAACTGAATTTTTCAATGTTTGAAAAGTGAGAAAAATGAAATTGCTATGGTGGGAGGGGGATTGATTTCATATTCTGTATAAACACTTTCATTCCCAAGGATCTAGGCTATGATGGAGAGATATTGTGGAAAAATCATGTTAAAACAGTGCACACATGTTGGGTTGACTGCTTTCTTAGATTTGCAAAGTAGCTAGCGCATGTTAATGCTCTACAAGTGCTAATTATCCCTTATTACTTCCTACAGCTTGAAGGCATAGAAACAAAATTCAGAAAGGAAGAAACCCATGAGAATTTTATTAACATTGATTGTTGTGGTTCAAAGTTCATCACCCTTTTAAGTTAACTTTACTGTTATCTTATTGTTTTCCCATATTATTTTCCTATAACCCACAATGTTTGTTCAGTTCAAAATAAAAGTTTTGGAAAGCATAAGCAGAAGATTCTTTGCATAAATAACACTGCCTCCATTTATTAATATTGTTTTTGTCTTGGCTTAGCAGATATTAAAGGGAATCATTTGCAACTATGTTTTAAATTCTTTCATTAGTAGCCCCCAGCTACTACAACATTAGCGTTAAACAATTTATTTCAAGAGATAGGCAGAGGTCTAGCTTCTATTCAAGGAAGCTGATGAATGAATGTACTGGCTTGCCTGGAAGCCAGATGGTATCATTGGACAGTGGTGGTGGTGGCGGTGGTGGCGGCGGCAGCAAAAGAAGCACTATCTAGGTATTTGGTAGAAATGCAATTACACAAGTCCACTACAGACAAGCTGAGTCAGAAATGGTCAGGCTAAACTGAAAACCTGTTTTTCTAAGTCTTTGGGGTGATTCTAAAGCACATTAATGCTTGAAAAAACACTAGATTAGAGCAATGGGAGGCCAAGT